CCTGGCAAAAAGGGCTTAGCAATGTGGGCGCCGCAGGAGCTGTCAAGCCGAGAGGGTGGACGCAACGTGCGGGTAGTTGCGCGGGAGCGGCGACCGAAAACGCTCGGCTCTTGGGCGCCTTCCTTTTTGCTGCTTTGTGAGTTCCCGAGGGCGGGGGAGGAATTTGGTTGGGCTGCGGTTTGCTGCGGCGGATGCGCGGCACAACAGTCCCGCCAGCGCAGCGCAGCAGCGGCCCAGTGAGTGAGGGACGAGGTATATTTTAAACTGTTTCCGATGGATGTTCGTGGGGATATAATTTACGTGGAGCGTGCATGGAGGACGCTCCACCACGCACGCGGCGCGGCGGTGCCGCAATTCCGTGGATTTGGGCGGCGTTGGGGAGAAGTGAGTGGGGGAATGCAGCAGCGGACTGCGTTTCTGCGGAAGTGCTTCAAGGGACTATTTTTTTAAAAAATGTATTTGTGTTTGTATTTATTTACCTGCGGGCACGAGGCACAACCGGCGGGCTGCGCTGCTGCGGGAAAAATGGGCGCCGTGTCCCGTGACCTCGCAGCAGCACCGTTTTTAGTTTCATTTTTTTTCTCTCCTCAAAAGCCCTGGCACTACCAAAGACGTCTGCGTGGGGCGGGGGCGGAACAAATTCCTCCTCCCGCGGCTGCAGGGCGCTGCCGCCTTGCCTTTTCCCTCTCCCTCCTTCTCCCTGCTCTCTCTCCGTCGTACTCCACCTCGGTCCCCATTTCTCTCCCTGTTCCTTTTTCTCCGCTCCCCCGCAGTCCACTGACTCCAGCGACTCTGTTACCCCACGATCACCGTTTTTGCTGATGGCGAAGATGGCGGCGGTGCGGCGCCGTGCGGTGTGCGCGTTGGCGCTCCTTGCGCTGCTCTGCGGCCCCTTCTGCGTAGCGGCGGCGGCTGCTTCTTCGGCTGAGGAGGAGGTGGATGTGTCGGTGCAGATTTCGTGCGCGGACAGTGACAACAAGTTGAGTTGGCGCTTTCCTGGTGAAGGTGCCTGGCAGAAGTGTGCATTCACTGTGGATGAGTCTTTCACTATGAGTGGAGCCATTCACGACGATGAGAACTCCCTCTGCGCCTGGGCCGGAACTCAGTACTCTCCTTTCCGTTCAGCGAGTGGTAGCGTCTGCTCTGGAGCCACGGCAGAGAACGATCTTGCGTTTACCATGAGGTGCAAGACGAAGAAAAACAGCGGGGCGTACAAGCGGTGGCAGAGTGTATGCAAGCAACCCGGCGGTGCGGCTCCTGCGGCTGTTTCGGGCGGCGAGCCACTTGGCGTGTTGCAAACTTGCACCATGCAACCGTCCAGTGGAAACGCAGCTGAAGAGGGGCCAGATGCGCCTCAAGGGGGCTCACAAGAAGACGCCGGAGGAGCGCAACTGAAAGGGACGCCAGAAGGTGGGAAAGGCACACAGCTGCACGACGAGCCCGAAGATGCGACTGGGCCGCAGGGTGCGCAGCAGTTGGCGGGTGTAGGTGCAGCTGCGAACACGGAGGGCAAAGCCGCGGAGCCGCCGCGGGGGGAAGACCAGCGCGGCGCAGAAGAAGTTCCAGCAGGTGCTGGGCCCGGCCGCGCCGCGGGCCCCACGGTGCAGCAGCCTGCAGAGTCTGCGACTCAGTCCGCTGGCACTGCAGCGGCCCCGGGGACTGTCGATGTGCAGCCCGCGCACGGCGTTGAGAGTAAACCGCAGACGGCTGAAAGTGCGGGCGCCAGCGACGCGCCACCCAAACCGGGTGCACAGCCACAGGCGGGAGGTGAGTTGGCGGAGGGCGGCGTTGGCGGTGCTACGGGGCAAGCGAAAGCAGCAGAAGGCAGTGAAGAAGAGCGAGAAGGCGCAGAACGTACAACGACGACTGGGCACGGCAGCGACTCGACAAACCCCGCGCAGTCCACTGCCGGCGCCACACAGGCTTCGGCGCCTAAATCCGCCACCAACAGCAGCGCCACTCAGAAAACTGTGGCCAATTCTGCAGACAGCACTGCCACCAACGCCCTGCTTCTGCGTGCACCTCTGCTGCTGCTGTCGCTGCTGCTCACGGCTGTCCTTGCCTGCGCTGCCGCGTAGGTAGGGCGAAGCAACCGCACACACACACACCCTGGCAGGGACGAGGAGTACGCTTTCTGTGCTCAATTTGCTTGTCGTCCCCGTGGGACAATCCTTCTCTCTCCCCTGTGTTTTGAGTTTTTTTTGCTTTTTTTTTTCTATTGCTTCGCCACTCCATGCACGTTCCCATGGGCGGCGCACCCTTTTCCCCCTCCTGTTTACTGCCGCCCACACACACACACACACACACACACACG